AAGAAGAGGAGAAAGCTTTGCTTTTACTGCATCCTTGCCGAAGTCTTACAAGTCCCTAGTGCAGAGCATGCTGGTGGGTAAGACTACTTTGGTGATGAAGGACGTCACAACCATGTTGTTGGAGAATGATAAGTTTCTTGGGGAGGATGATGGTGCCAATCAAAATAATGCTTTGGTGATGGAGCATTCTCGAGGAAGATCCTATGGAGGTGGAGGAGGAGGAAATCGAGAAAGGTCAAAATCTAGACCTAAGAAGGATTATGGTGAAGTGTAGTGTTTCTATTGTGGCGAGTTGGATCACAAACAGTATAAATGGTCGAAGTTTAAGGAAGACTTTTCTAAGATGAAAATATTGATGAAATGTCAAGAAACCAAGGGCAAGGGGGAGGCTAATACTATTGAAGAAAATGTAGTATTAGTATGTGAAGAGTGTGATCCTGAGGTGGAGCAAAACAATCAAAAGTGGATTTTGGACTCCGTTGCAACCACACATGTGTGCAATAATCCTTCAGAATTTGTGAGTTTGGTTTAAGGGGAGCTTGGCAAAATAATGGTGGCTACTAGTGAGAAGGTGAATATTGAAGGCACAGGAGATGTTCATCTCAATGTTCACAATGAGAGAGCCAAGATTCTCAAGAATGTGAGATATGTGCCCAAGCGTTCAAGCAATATTATTGCTTTGAGTGAGTTGACAACACAAGAGTGCAAGTATGTTGGAAAGCAAGAATGGTACAAGGTCTAGAAAGGTGGAAGACTTGTCTTGTGTGGGAGGAAGAACAAGCACAACATCTATATACTTGAGCAACATCCTAAGAGAAGGCTCAACAAAACCATGAGGAAGATGGTGTGGAAGCCTAAAGGGATCTTGGTACATGGCAAGGAAATTAATAAGACCAAGAAGAAGGTGAGCTTCAACAATGAAGTGGTGTTTGATGATGGTTCGAGGAGGTGTGATTTTCCCTCAAATCATATCTTGGTTCAAAATTAATTTCTGTAGTGCACCTAGTGTAGGTTTGTCCTATCCTATACTAGGAAAAAACTTTCAAAAATAGAACACCATGATGAAGTGTTTTTGAGTAGGGGGAGCTAAGTCATGGTTGGTTTCTCCTCCCATGGGGTTGGAGGGGGAGATTGTTAGTAGAAAGTCCAACCCCATGCATGTGAACACATGGACTTTCCATGTGGAAGTTTGCTTCACCTGCCTATAAGCCAATTGTGGGCTAGATTGCTTTGTTGAAATCTTTTGAGATTGCATGTTGACCCATTTAATGAGCAAAGAAAATCTTGGACGGGCAGTACTGAGGCAAAGAAAAATGGTGCATGGGTGGTTGGATTTTTTACTATAAATACCCATGCATGCAAAGGAAATGGGCAAGCAAGAGTGGGGGAAAGCAAGAGAAATTGAGTGAGAGCTCTTGTGGGAGAAAAGAAAGAGAGAAATTGTGAGAAAATCCTTATGTAGATTAAGAGAGAGTATTAGGTAGAATTTGGGAGTTTCTATACATTAAAGCTAGGGTGTTGAGAGCTTCTTCAGTGAGAGAGCTTTTAAATTATTATACTCATTTTCTTAATAGTGGATTTATGTCTCTCTTCCTTGTGGATGTAAACTTATTGAAAGGTGTACAAGTCGAACCACGTTAAATTATTGTCTCAATTTCTTTATCGCTTCCATTTATGTGGGATTGTGGTACTCAAAGTTCCCAACAAAAATAGTTTAGAGTATCATTTATTTCTACTCATTCAGAGATCATTGCACTTTTGCTTTCCTTTTTTGTGTCTCTCTCCATCTTTTCTATAAAATGTAAAGGTTAGAATTCAGACTATTGTTATTTGATTTAGAAACATTCTACTATCATTGAGAGAAATGTAATTAGAATTTTTAGTAATTAAAATGTCATTTGATACATAAGTATTGCGTCTTATTCAACCAAGCTCTTGGTTTCTCATCTCCACTATAGAGTTTCCTCTAAATACGATACCATCTTTGGCTTTATAGGCATTGATAGTTGTTTGTCAATGCATGTGTCCAACTCATATATTGTGTGTTATTTGTTTTGATGGAACAATGTGCCTTGTACGATTTGCTTACCGTGTGACTCTTTCCATTTCTTTCATTTGAATCAAACCTTAATCAATTATGGTGAAGACAAAGAGCATATTGCTTTTTAATTGAACAATCTCCCCATGAACACCCAAATCCTTGGCTGGAAATATTTCTTTTCCTCTGGCCGATTGAGAAACACTTGGCAGAGCGTAGTTTTCCCGATCCCTTCTTTCCCCACAACTCCGATCGCCTTGAACCCATCGACCTCATCACCTCGTTGATATACAAGTAATTTCAGCAGGGACATCACTTCGGCTTCGAACCCGTGAACCTTAGATGCATCCACATGCTTCGTAGTCTCTTGGAGAGTTTCCCATTCATCTGACTGCCCTGCCCGGCCGTGCTTGGCTGGCGAACCGGGGTTTCATTAACATTAACTGCATCTTTGAGCCTGTCCGTGAGTTCCTCCTTGATCTTATTTAAATTTGTCTTGATATATATTATAGAGGGCAGGTAGATCTGGAAGGAAATTGCATGAATATGACAGCATCCGGCATTCGGCAAACAGATTGTTGAGGCGGTAAAGCTTTTCCCTGATGGCCGCATTCTCCGGTGACGGCGAGGATGGTATGACTTGTTCAATAAAACCCTTCAGTTTAGAAAAATGGTTATGCAAAAGGACAGTCTGATTATCGGTAAGATTCTTGCTGAATGTCTCCAGCAGATATCGCTCCATCTCCATACCCAAAATCAAAGGTAAACCTTCAAACTTTCAGAAGCACTACGGTTCTGTACAATATTGCCCACGATGATTTTATTATTAAATAGGTGAATCTCTATGGTCCTCACTTCACTTCGTAGGGTTCTAAGGTGCCTTGGGAATTCCAATTCCACCTCGAGCAGGAAGAAAAAGATTTATTTAATTTGAATCGATGACCTTATA